GTCATCATAACAGTTGTGGGATTATCTAAATCTTCAAATCGTGTTTTTTCTTTATCAGCCTCAAAATCGTCATCTGACGTTAAATGCACAGCTTGATAACGTTGTACAACACTTTCCCACTCTACAACCTCTTCAATTCGCTGTGGTCCATGGGTATTTCCAGCTCTAAGGAACCCTCCTGTAAAAGACAACAGAAAGTATTCAACTACTGTACACTGTCCCTTACCAGCACAATACTTTAACTTATACATTATGATTAAAATATTTCTAATATTGGTTTTTTTTATATAAATTTTCATATAATAAACTTTATTTTATTTTGTTTTATTTGATATCAATAATTATTTATTTAAAAAAATTCCATATTACAAGCTAAATAACAAATGGAAGGATACAAACGAATGAAGCACAATCTTTTCTTTGCATGGCAAAAGTGAGTATAAAAGTCCAGAAACAAGGCAATAATACCTCTTAACATTTTGGATTGCTAAAATTCAGGAATGAGAATGAGAATTTTAATTTTCAGCTGAAAGTAAAGGAGCCGGGGTCCGAGAACCATAATTGATCAAATCGTTACAATACAGACACTGTGCCTTTCCCGGGGCCTCGCACTAGCCAATGAAGTCACTAAATTTTTCAGTTACCACTTCCTTTTCGATCGCACGGTAACTTTTTTGTCAAGCCATGCCCAACAATATTTGTTCCTATTGTCTTTATTGATCTCTCGCACAGCTGACTCGTTGTCTTTTGTAACCAATTGCATGAAAATTGTAAACAACGATCCAACGCAATTGAAACAATAAAATGGCGCCATTGGTGAAAAGAAAAAATGAAAGCTCTTTACTGATTGGCCAGTCAGAACAAACCCAGCCAATCATGTTAATCGTTACATATTACTTTGAACACTCCAAAATCACTTCAGATTTTACAATTGCACTGATGAACAGAGTCGCAAACATTCTGCATTGGAGACACCGTGAGTTGTCTCCCTTTGACCATACACAGATACAGGCCTCTTGCAGCCGACAACAATGACCCAACACTTCTGGTGAATGAACAAGATTTGTATTCTTACCACCCCACCCCCCACAACAATTTTCTCTTCGTATTCAGACATTTCAGAAAATCTATCCCTAGGGCTTAAAAATCCACGGAATTCTGCGGATCCGCGGAAAATTCTCATCCCTGAAAATCAATAGGAACCATGGGGTCATCATTATTACATGAAAATATTAATTAATCACTACATGTACTTTATTAATCTCAGTGATTCTCAGAGAGTAACATGATTAGTCAGTGTTCTCCATAGGTTGAAAACAGCCGAGAGGGAGGGTTCGGGGAAAAAAGTTTTGAAATTTAGATGCCTTTAGATGCAATCTGGGTCATTTCCCTGGCGTGAATCTCGGCAACCTCAAGGCAATTTTTCATCGTAAAATGCACCGACAACGGAAAAAGTCAATAAGATTTATTTTATCTTATTTAAACTACAAAAACAAATTAATCCCCCGACTGCGCCAGTCTATTGCTTACCTAACGCGACAACTTACGTTAACGCCAAGCAGCTCATTAACTTCGATAGCTTTATTTGCATGCATGTGTTTTATGTTACTTGATTGTGTGTGCAACAAAGCTGGTCAAAAAGACTTAGTCTGTAGACTTCAGTATTTGAATTTGGGCAAATGTTTTACATTTTTAATAAAAAAATAAACTAAGTATTTTTTTATGTCCAATGTCATTTTGATTATATAAAAAATATATAATTATATAAAAAAATGACGTAGTCACGTTGCAACAGTTATTTAGAATGATACAGAGCGACTTACAAAGTATCATTTTTTGCTTACGCCGTTGGCAAACGTGTTGATTTAGTTCACACGCGATTCGGTAAAATACTGACTAACGTAAAGTTGCACAAACTGTACTTTGATTTTTGTACAAATTCGGTAACCATTCGTTTCTTAGATATACCAATTCAGTTTGAAAATAACACCTTTGATTTGTGTTCAATCTTGCATTGACATGTTTTTTTGTTTTGTTTTTTTTTTCAAAAAACAACGTTGCCTCTCAGTTAACTTTTTGCGTTCATGGTATTTGTGAGTCAAAACATGTTTGCGTTATTAGAAAAGCAGCACACTAAGTAAACGATGTTGAAATATTCAAAGCCAAAACAGTTGCATACAAGTTGTGTTATTACAGTACCGCCAGATATACTGCTGGTAAAAACAATTTTACTAGATGGACACGCGGACAATGAAAGAAAAAGGTTGCTAAGGTAACACGCCAGTTCAGTGCGTGACTTAACCACATAATACCCCCCCCCCCCTAATCAGGCAAGGTGAATGAAAATGGTTTTGTGGATAATTTGTTGAGAATGTAAAAAATATCTTGGTATACACCCACCCCTTACTTTCCCCAATTTTACATGTTGATGCACCTAGACCTATGACAGGAAGTACTGTAATTTTGTACTCTATTAATGCATAGACATCTTACCTTCTGGTGCTACTTGTGTATTTCTCCTAACAACACTACGTAACCACTGGGCAGTGGAATGCGCCAATAAATCAACAGATCTGGAATCAGACACAGCATCTAACTCTTCTTCTTCATTTATAAATTCCCGTGCCTGGTTGCTACAAATCTTACCTGATGATGAAATCAATGGAAAATCAAAAAAATATACATATACAATAAAACAAGCAGCCTATCGGCTGAGATAGCTCCGCTGTTAGCAATGCACATTTCAATTAAAAAACTGAAGACATCATTAGAAAATGAACAATATGAATAGTATCAAAGCAATCGGACTTACAGTTTTTAACAAGAAGTCGAAAATATCACTTTTTACCAAAAATTACAAAAATATTCACCAAAATAAATTAATTAGAGAATTGAAGATATCATCACAAAATGAACAAATCTGAGAGAGGTCCACATATAGTACCTATATATGTAATATCAAAGCAATCGGACTTACAGTTTTCAACAAGAAGTCGAAAATATCACTTTTTACCAAAAATGACAAAAATATTCACCAAAATTAGAGAATTGAAGATATCATCGCAAAATGAACAAATCTAAGAAAGGTCTACATGTAGTATCTATATATGTAATATCAAAGCAATTGAACTATTGGTTTTTAACAAGAAGTCGAAAATATCACTTTTTACCAAAAATTACAAAAATATTCACCAAAATTAGAGAATTGAAGATATCATCACAAAATGAACAAATCTGAGAGAGGTCCACATGTAGTACCTATATATGTAATATCAAAGCAATCGAACTTGCGGTTTTTAACAAGAAGTCGAAAATATCACTTTTTACCAAAAATGACAAAAATATTCACCAAAATTAGAGAATTGAAGATATCATCACGAAATGAACAAATCTGAGAGAGGTCCACATGTAGTACCTATATATGTAGTATCAAAGCAATTGGACTTGCGGTTTTTAACAAGAAGTCGAAAATATCACTTTTTACCAAAAATGACAAAATAATTCACCAAAATTAGAAAATTGAAGATATCAACATGAAATGAACAAACCTAAGAAAGATCTACCCAAGGTATATATACACCAAGTATCAAAGCATTCAGGCTTGTAGTTTTCAAGAAGAAGTCGAAAAAGTAAAACATTGACACGGACGACGACGACGACGGACAATCACTCATATGATAAGCTCCGCTCGACAAAGTCGACAGCGGAGCTAAAAACAATAACTTGTGTGCACGTGGTACATTTCTAAAACAAGTAGCCTCTTGGTTGAGATAGCTCTGCTGTTAGCAATGCACATTTAAATTAAAGAATTGAAGATATAATCACAAAGAGATGCTGAATAGACCATTTTCCGTACACTGCGAGAATCACGCGTTATGCGTGAAATCAAACGTAAAAACAGGACAAACAAAGGTCATAGTGTCGTAGTGGCGTCAAACATCGCGTGGGATTCGACAAACGCAAAAGTATTTTGGAGAACATTTCCATGCTTAATAATGTGCTGTCCACACTTGATGATAGGCAATTTAGATTAAGTAAGAGTATTCGGAAGCAATATTCCTCTGTCGAAGATCGGCCGGTCGGTGTGAGCTACGAAATAAGGAAATTCGAGTTCAAAATCAAATCGTTCGATTTTTGCGGCAGACGTTCGACGCGCGTCTTTCATGCATCTTGCGAGATCTCGCAATTGTACGGAAAATCATCTATTGTTTGAGTTACGAGAACATTGACTTACAGAAATGATCAGGCCCATATTTTTGAAACCACGCCCACTTTTGTGAAACCACGCCCAAATTGTAACTCGATGTTTAATTAACAGTTAACATGAGATATGGGCATCATAAAATGTTCGTTTTGTTTAACTTTCAAATTTTGTAACTTTGTAACTTTAAATAACCGTTACTCGATGTTTATAACTTGATATCCGTAATTCGAACAATTCAGCATCTCCATTACAAAATGAACAAGTCATTGTTCATGACACAGTCCCCGTCCAAAATTTTTTGATCTGACATATCAATTTGATGCTGATAAAGTCATTGAGATTAGATTGAAACCATTAATAGGAGATGGTTTTGTAAAAAATTATAATTTAGTGCTTTTACACGAGAATTGGACATTGGGCAGTCATATTGAATCAAATTACAAAAATAATATTCATGTTGATGTATCTATTGGTATACTATCTTTGTACAAAATTTTAAAGAGAAAGGTTCATTGCATTTAGAAGAAAGTAGCATGGGTACAATGAAAAACAAAATGGCGGCCAGTCTGCCATATTTGTTCGAATCACGGAAAAAATATGACGTGCACCTATTAGCCAATATGTATGATCACCATACCAACTTCTCCGAGAAACTGATGAGGACACATTTAGGTATCAGAAATAGGAAATTTTACATCCAAAATGGTTGCCATTTTTGCCCCGATCATGAGGTAACTTGACGGGCATATGTAAGACATTATGTATTGTCTTCATGTAAAGTTTGAATGAAATCCGTCAATAGGTGTCCGAGATATAGTTCCAGACGTACTTACAGATGGATGGAACGAACCCAAATTAATAGTCCCCGTTACGGACTTCGTTCGAACGGGGACTAACAAATCTGAAAAAGGTCTCTCTGTAGTACCTTTATGTATAATATCAAATCAATCAGATTTGTAGTTTTTAACAAGAAATCAAAAATATCACTTTTTAACCAAAATTATTCACCAAAATTAGATAATTAAAGAGATCATCACGAATTGAACAAAGGTGATAAAATATAAAACTGTTGATGACATACCTTTATGTTTAAAGGCAACTTTACAGTAGGTAACTAGCTTGGTAAATAGATTTAGAGGAGCTGGTGTGGCTGACGTTCTGTTCATATTACGTATCAGTTGAGCACGTCCAAATTTCCACTCTGTATCAGATTGTGCTTGGATCCTTTGATAAGTGTCACTCATCATAGCAATCAACAAATTGATCAACACAATTAATGTCACTATAAGATAGGTGCCAAAGACCATCTTAACTAACGTCAGCGTGATGTAGGGATTCCTATGCACAGGAGGTAAATTGTCTGGTTCCACTAGTCCGAACAATGAAAAGAAAAGTAGTACCAATGTCTCGAGAGGGGTTTGGACTTTAGCTCCACCACTTCCATCACCATCCCCTTCTACACTAGTATCGTTAGACACTGGGTACACTGGTTGATATATTGCAGCTAGTTGTAACGTAAATCCACTGATAAAAATACTGAGGATAACCATGAATCGTAACAAGTCGCGCATCAAGTCACGTATAATGATTGCCCATGGTCCGAAAAGATGGTGGAAAGATAGAAATTCTAAAAACTGCACAAAGCAAAGAAGAAGACACGTAGAAAAGAACAAATTTCTGGCATAGATGATTTCGTTTCTTTGTGTTCCATAAAATGCAAATCCAAGTAAATGACAGAAGCAGGCAATCGCTGCAATTGCAAGGTTTACAACGTGTAACCACCCAAGTCCCTGACGATCAGCTGGGTTCGTTATCTCTGACACAAGCAAACCAGAGAACCAGGCAAGCAGCAACCATTCATACCATCTGGGCATCAATGATGGATTCACTTCCACCTCATTGATAAATGTTGGTATAACACATGTTACTATTAACAATGCAATAAGATAGCCATGAGAGACCAAATAGCACATGAATTTAATAATAGGTATCTTTGTGTATCGATGTTTCAGAGGCAGTGAAAATGCAATCCATACAGGTGGGCAAAGCAACATGACAAAGAACAACAATATTGTCTTCCAATTCGGCCAAATTTTTAACTGTCCGCTCCAGACATCTGATAAATAGCGTTGCACAGATGGATTCGCCACGACTTCTTTTTGTTCGTTTTCAATTAACACATCTAAAAATTGTGTTCCTCTATGATCAATTGATCTTAAAATATGTCCAGCACTGTTAGAACTTGCTGCAATGGCAAGCAGGTCTACAGCCATTAATTCACAGAAGATTCCTGCTTCAATAAGATCCTTGGCCCGCTCCTTTTCCTTAGTGGATTGTAAACGGAAGTTCTTTGATAATTTGACGGCAGTGTCTACTGGTGCTGGTGAAACAAGGATGAACTCCTCAATAGATTTATTGCGATTGTGTTTTCCATTTACCATGAGATCAAAAACAAACTGAAACAAGCAAATAAAACAATAAATCAGTTATCATATCTCAGGGTGTGGTAAAACACAGTGAAATTATAACAACCTTGCCTCTAGTCTATAATTAAGAATACTAACATTAGTCAAATTGAAATATTTACAACATAGCTGTTACAATCAATGCTCACACACACAGTGAACAATGGCAATGCCCAAACATGCTTCCAAGAAACTCTTAGAAAATTACTTCACATTCAGTACTCACTAGGGGATCAAACATACAGTACAGTTCTCGCGAAAGCTTTGTCTTCACTTCAGCGTCAGCTTCGCTTCAGCATCGCATCATTATGGCATTGTTATGGCTTCATCGTCGCATCAATGTTGCGACATTAAAAAGTTAGGCGGTTATCGCTTCACTTCATTATGGCCTCATTATGGCAACAATGTGGCATCAGCATCGCTTCATCGAACAAAGAAGTACAGTACACATTTCGCTCAAGCTCCCGCTGGTTGTTGAATTTGACCGGACAATATCCGTGCAAGTAATTTATTTTAAACAATATATTCTGACGTGACGCACTGCTACAAAATGTATTTCAACAGAAGTACGACATGGTTGTCTGGGTTTCATTTCCTAATTGTGTTAATTCTTCGCAATGTGTTTACGATTTGTATCAGTATTGTTGTTTTCCCCCAAAGAGAAGACAAGCCGATGAAAGGGCTATAAAGCTAAATAGAAGTCCACGCATGGACTGAGTGAAAGAACATATTTCTAAGTCTAAAATATAACCTAATATTACATCTCATTATGCATTTGTCAATTTTGCACATATTTGGTATGACAGTATGTTCGTAAATATCTGGAAAAATTTCGTCTTTCGTTAATAATTTCATTTGTTTGGAATGTCTACCGACCATGCCCCACTAATTTGTTTGGAATATCGATTCCCGTTGGTTTCTCCAAACGGTCCCGACGTCCATCATTCAACACAATCAGCATTTATTTATCGTAATTCATGGGGATCATGTCCCGTAATTTGCAGGCTGTAAAACCAAATAATTAAACTATTTATTATATTTTTTTACATCGCGAAACTACAACAGAGCTAGAGTTGTCGCGGCGAAACAGTCGCCTTGAAATTGGTGCAACTTCAACTATCCATTTCTCACCTTGAAATAAAAAAAAATATCACTAGCTTTATTTTATTTGAATCCATAAATTTCATGAGTTTTTTGACATTTGTTGACAACTTCCGCACTAAAAATGGTTGAAAATGTGAGTGTGGTTCTTTTGCAAAGTCCTGGTGATAATACAAACAAATATGGTTCTGTGACCCAGGTCATGCTCAGATCAGGTGACTTTCATCCAATCTCCGGTGTTGATTTGTTGTGCTGTGACAGACTTCACTGAAAAACATCGGTATATTTAAACAAGCAGCCAGTCGGCTGAGATAGCTCCACTGTTAGCAATGCACATTTCAATAAAAGAACAGAAGATATCATTAGAAAATGAACAATATGTATAGTATCAAAGCAATGGGACTTGCTGTTTTCATCAAGAATTCAAAAATATCACTTTTCACCAAAAATGACAAAAATAATCATCACCACGAAATTAACAAATCTGAAAGAGGTTCACATGTAGTACCTATATAAATATATGTAATATAAAAACAATCGGACTTTTTTAAACTATAAGTCGAAAATATCACTTTTTACCAAAAATGACAAAAATATTCACCAAAATTAGAGAATTAAAGATATCATTACAAAATGAACAAATCTGAGAGGTCCACATTTAGTACCTATATATGTAATATCAAAGCAATTGGACTTGCGGTTTTTAACAAGAAGTTGAAAATATTACTTTTTACCAAAAATGACAAAAATATTCACCAAAATTAGAGAATTAAAGATATCATTACAAAATGAATAAATCTGAGAGAGGTCTACCC